GAGCTCGATTGTGTGGAAGCGCTTTTGCCTGGCGCACCGAGGCTGAAATCCCAAGCTCAGAGTGCGGCACTGTTGCATGCGTAATTTGCCAAGTTAACATCGGCAATAATTAATGTTTGTGGCTATCCTGGGCTCGCTTGTGAGCTGGGGCAGCGCTAAGAAATTCCCTGCCTTACTGTGTGAACTCTGAATAGGGAGAGTGTTTGCATGGAAGAGCCAAGCAGGTGCTCATCCAGAGCGGCAAAGGGAGCTTCCCCGAGCCCCGCAGCCAAGCCCTCGCGCGGTGCCCAGACCGGGAAGAGAGGAAGCGGTATTTCCAAGGAAGCGGTATTTCCAAGGAAGCGGTATTTCCGAGTACCCTCTGCGGGCTGCTGGGCCTCTGCAGCAGCGTTTGATGTGGTGCCACCAGCAAGAGAGAGGGAATTGTGAGCCCTGCTGTAAAAAGGGGCCATTCACACATCCTCAGCTGGAAGATATTTGACTTTCTTCTTGAGTGAGGAGCTGTTTGCCGGTAGGACAGGGCCCCCAGGCTGCTGCCCTGGCCTCAGGCCTGGCTCTGGAGGGTGTTGAGCTGTGTTCAAGCCTGCTGCTGATGCACGGAGAGGGTTTAGGGAGAGCTCTAGCATCTGGGATCTGTCCCTGCGCAGGCGGCCAGTGGCAGGTTTATCCAGTGCCGGATCGTGACATCAGGCGGTGCAGCGCTGTAGCTAAGCTGCTGCGGGTTTCCCTTCCCCGCTGAAGTCCTCCTCTCAGGGATGAGGAGAGCAATTAACAGCTTAGCCTTACCAGCGTGTAAGGGTCTGAGGGCTTGCAAGGGCCGCAGTCCTTAGCTGTAGGAGGGGGGATGATTCAAGTCACCATTGATCAAAACGGTTTTGGGCCAGGGCCAACTGTACGAGATTCAACACGGCTCAGGGCCGGGTCCTGCACTGGGGGCACCACAACCCTGGGCAGCGCTGCAGGCGTGGGGAGAGCGGCTGGGAGCTGCCCGGGGGAAAGGGCCTGGGGGGGCTGGTCGCCAGCCGCTGAACAGGAGCCAGCAGCGTGCCCCGGGGGCCAAGAGGG